AAGTGCGCTGAGCTGTCGTGGTCAGTTCCGGATTGCGCGGCGATGTTAGTGACAGCTGCGCTCGAGAACCGCGTATTGAACTCATGTCCAGTCACTCTCCTTTATACCTACTTAGCTCGTTTCTCGTTCTACTCAATTTCTCATACCCCTCACCCTTCTAATACTATTCGTTGTTATATCTACCATATGCTTTACTGCATCTTTCATCTCTGTCAATATTTTACTCTATTTACTTTTGTTTTTACATTTAACATTATTATATTACTATAAATATATCAATATATGTGTTCGTTTACAAACTTTTTTTATTTGAACATTTAAAGATTTTTTTTTAATAATTTTATAAATGGGGGAAAATAATATAAAGTGGCACAAATTAATAAATGAATAAACAAATGATTTTTAATGCATTATTAAATGAAAAATTGATAGACAAAAAGTGTAATAAGACTCTTTAAACTTTTAAGCATCTTAATTGCGCGCGCTTTGCGACATAAATGGTGTCTGATTTTTGTAATTTTTTTGAGGTTATACATGCGATTCCCTATACCCTTTTATACCAAATTGAGACACCATTTATGTCTTGTAGTGTATCATTTATGTGAACATTTTAAAATTATAATTCAAACAATTATTTATTCTTTCATTTACCACAATATATTATTATAGTACATTATAGTATATCATTACAAAATTGCTTATTTCAACAATCCAATCAAATTATCGGGAAAGAATACCAATATGGCGTCTATCATCTCATTCGTCGACTTTAAGATAGAGGATTTTAATGAATTAGCGAATTTTTTCGAGTGTTTTACTTTGTCTTTATTGTTCCTAATGTCAGAATTCTTAACAGTAATTCAAACACCATAAAATCATTTTTTGATGATTTGAAGTAATCTTTGGAACTGATTCTATAAAAATATCACCATGTCAATTCCAAACAAATATTCCTATTAAAAATTTTGATTTTATTAATTCAAAAAAATATTACTAGTTCACAGTAAATTTCTTTCTCAGAAGTTGTTATAAAATCGTTTCAACTTCCAATTGCCTTAAATGTTTAGGCTATCAGTTAAAATATAGTAGATATACATATTCATAAGAAAAGGTCTCTTTTGTTCCCATTCTCACACCGGTTATCCCTTGGTGGCGTCACTATAATTTCTGCTCGCGAATCGTCAGACTAAACGGTTGAAAAGGGATAATATAACTGGAATACAGGATAACAACACCAAGAGAAAGAGGTTCTGTAACACTACGTATGGGTGAAAGATGAATAAAGCGTAAAAAAAATAGGAATGTTACGAGAGTGGAGCAGATATAGGATGGGGAAGAGGGGCTTGTAGGACGGCCGCCAAGGGACGTTTCAACGCAACGAGCACCTTATCTTTGCTACACCTTCACCTGCGAAACAGACTAACCTATCTGGCATTTCTATCCTCTTGGACGATAGTATAGAAGCCGGTGGCTAAATAAACTACACTCATGGCTGTGTAGTTGTCTCAGTGCGACTGGTGGAAAGAGAGCAAGTATAAAGAGGCTCATACTCTGTAGCGAGTCATATGTAATTACCCTCTGGATATTTCCTATCTGAAATTTTCTCTTTCTCTTCTGAAATTTTACTCATTTCTTTGAATAAATAACTTGTCAATTTTTTATTCGACATCAATGATTTTGCTGCGAATAATAAATATTGTTTAAATGTAATATAAAAATTTAATATTATTTATTAAATATTTATGTTTGTTACAATTACATTTTAAAAATAAAACAAAAGTGATTTTTAATAATAATTTAAGAATAAAATGTTGAAAAAAGAACTAATCTCCATATTCACATGACCTCAATAAAGAGTGTCTACTTTGAAGAGATTGAGAAAATCTTGGAGTGCAAACTCTTCACAATTTATAATCGTTGAGAGTCAAGCTTGAATCTTGTCTTAGCGTTTTATAAATGTCTCTGAGCAATAAAGACGCACGATGGATTAGCTGTGGACTCGACATTCCAACGCGTCGGATCTATTCTGGTGATTTCAAGTTGGACACGCGCGTCTAATGAATCAATCGTGTAATGTTATTACTTAGATAGTTGAAACATTTATCCCATTATGAATTTGTTGGAAAAAATCATCAGCATTATGCATTATTTTCATGAATAGTACACTCAAATGTTTACTCATTGCTTTAATTTTTTAAGACTATCTTTCCAAGTGACTACTCTGTATAAATTGTCATCATCATTAAGCAAATAAATAATGATTATTTTCTATTTATTTTGAAGTTGGAAAAAATTCAAGTAAGCTTATAAGAGTTACATTGATGGCATCTTTTCTGGTAGTCTGGAAACCCACGTACATGTCATAAATAGTGTCCTCTCGTCCCTCGCTTTCGTTCTCAAACCACCAGCATCACCAGTGTCTGGTTTCTCGTATCGTCGTCGACATTTTCCAATATTCTCTACTGCACTGATTCCATCTGCGTCCTCTGAATCTTTGTAACTTATTTTTTTTTTCTTAGAAAAAAAGAGAGATAGTAATAAAGGAAACAGTAATACATGACTTTTGCTTATTACTATTGTTTACTCCATTCTTTTAAATTTCAAATACCAAAACAAACAAATCAAAAAATATTTTAATAATTCAATTAAAAAACAAAGAAATCAAACTTTATAAGCTTTTTTTTATTTACTTTGAATACATTGTGATGAATGGAAATAAAATTTAGCGCATTTTGTAAATTGATAGAGAAAATGAAAAAAAAATAAAGTTTAAGCTTATTTGATAGACCGCGTGTATGTAAAACGAGCACCACGAGATATTGAGGCATGCGCAACACAGTAATGTGGTGGAATAGTGTGTGTCGACCTTTACCCGCCAACCTTATACTACTCAACTATCACCTCCCTCCTCTTGTTACTACCGTCGCCAACCCTGACCTGATTTATGTGATTCTGGAAGCGTCTAGTCGGACAACGCGTGTTGTAGGGGTGCACATTTACCATTCATGCTCTCTTGTGGATTCTCTCTCGTGGATTCCACTTTACTTTGATACTTATTCACACTCGGCTTTTTCTCATTCTCTCTCTCACTCTTCAAGTCCACATTAGTTTGTGAACTTACATACAGTAGTGCTCAAAAATATTTTAATAATAAAAAATTTGTTATTATTTTCATTAATAAAATTTCATCGAAAAATTTATTGAATACAGTAAGAAGTAGTTTAACTGTGATTTTTTGAACACATCGAAACATTAGATATTTGTTGAAGAAATGAAATATTAATTTTGATGTTTGTTTTTAATTTATGCAATAAATATATTCATCAACATACTTTTGATCACTACTGTATTCATGTACTATATAGAATTTGACAAAATACTGAGAATATTTATGTGTGTATGATGATAATGATGATGATGACAGAGTCGGCAACGATGATGGCTTGCGTTTTTTTTTTTTATTCTTTTATTTCTTTTCCCAGATCTAAAATGAAAGTTAGTATAATACAGAACAAAATAAAACCAATTTATTAAAATATCTTTGACACACTGGCGTATACTTTCTTTTTCCAAGAAAAGCAAGTTGGTATCGCTGATGGTCTGTTGAAGTAAATTTTCCCTTCATCCGGAAAAATCGGTGTTATACAAAAGCCGAGTGATTTGTGTCGTTGTCCATTCTTTGGAGCTCTACACAGTGTGCTCTTTGTTCAATCCGAAAAGTTGAGTTTATCTCACTCTTACTTATATAGAATCAGAAGCATGAAGGTACATTGAGTCTGTCTATCTTTCTCTCACACTCCGGTAGATATGGTTGGGTAATATACGAGCCCTGCATCTGTTCCCCTGAGTGACGCAACGTCCCGCCATAGATCACACCCAGGCTTTTAGAGACTGAAGGCTGTTAAGGAGAGAGCGTGCGAGGGTGCTCGTAGCTGCAGCACGAGAGACGATGAAAGAGTGAGATGAAAAAGAAAGAGAGACGACCGTCAGGGTGACGTACGGTTACTGTTAAACTCGCTGGCGTCGCTAAGAGTATAAAGAAGAAGTGATAGTGTAGATCTTGTGCTACACAAGAAACACTCGGTGGGGTAAAAGGGGGTTGTGAGGCTCGAGGGATTGCTCCAAGTTGTACGCTGAGACTGTCAGTACGACAGATAGCCCACGACTCATCGCAATGCCAGAGAAATGCATGGCCGCAAGTATTACTTTACTCGTTGATGCAACTCTAGACTTGCTGACTCTTCGGCAGCGCCGCAGGACCTTCAACAGACACTCAGTTGAGCGAGAAACGTATGCCAGAGGTGAAATATTTATGACGTGAACGTTTTCACTTCCTGCAGAGGTTCTGATGTCGGTGATAGCCATGCAGGAAATAAGGGCTAGGGAGCATGAATTAATGCTAGCTTCAGGCACATTTATCTTTAAAAAATTTATTACTACATCTTTGTGTATGCTAATGTTAGATTACACAATGAAGATGAGCATCTCTTTATCATTGGTATCGAGAAAAAAATTTAATTATCATTGAAAAGTTATGACATGATACTATCTTGAAAAGACATTTTTAAATGTCATTAAAAATTATTTAATTAATCATATGTTTATTCATTTTATACTAATATTTTATTTAAAATTATGATGAGATCAAAAATGAATCCTTCTATTTTTTTAGAATCTAATCTTATATTTATGATAACTTTTATTTTCTTTATTCCTCCTCTGTAAAGTTTTCGGCACCCCAGAATGACGTAATGTGCAAATTAAAACGCCTCATAAATATCTAAAACAAAGACAGCCGTTTGGAGGGTGGAAGAGTCTGAAAGATATACGATACATATATTCTAAGGCTGAAGGGAGTAGTATAGAAAATAGTTAACCCCCTGGGAAACCATCATGAGGGTGCATGTGTATACGAGTTGATACTTGGAGTTTCATATACATTCATAGGAATTTAGAATAATGTACTTCGTATATATGTCGTATCTTTTTCTGAATTTCAGGTAAGTAGTGGTCTCCAATCGTTTGAAAAGCAAGCGGCCCATCTCGCCGCGCCGGACGGAAGATATGCGCAGCAAGCAGCAACCGAGGCCTTCCTTCCGGTGGCCGCAACAACGCGGCGATAACGTTACCGGTAAATATCTAAATATACTCATAACGTCAATGTCTGCACGAATGTTGTTCACTCGTAAATTTTCAGTTAAAAGTTTCTCTTGCACGTGCAAGCGTGTTTAGTTCGTGTCAGTTGGAAATGTCGTGTCGATTTTATTTCTTTTCTTTTTCTTCTTTTCTTGTTTGTTTTTTAATCTTTTAACGTGGCATTTTAATTTTTCTGTGTAAATTACTTATCAAAATTTTTATACATTACATATTGTCAAATAAATCTATGTCTCTATCTATGTATTAATTGACAAACGACTGATTTTGTTGTTAGCAATGCTTGACCAATTTGTTGATGTTTAATATTTCCTTGAATCGAAATATAAATACTTAAGATTTTTTCTTTCAGTTGTAATCTTTTTTTAACTACCAATATTATTTCTCTTGTATTTTTTGAGAACTAATATGTACTTGATTTTTTTTAATTTTTATGTCAAAGATTAAAATTAAGATTTAATTCCTTGAGAAGTACTCCGCAGTAATGAATTTAAAGTCAATTGTAACACATAAACTATGAAAGAAGCCACGCCAATAGCAAAATAGCAATAAAAGGAGCAGTGAAAAAAAATAATATTTGATTAATTAAAACTTATTGTCTCTCAAATGCTAATTAAGATAACTGTTTCTAATTTTTTTTTTAACTAAATACCTTAAATGAATGCAAACAAATTTTTATTTGTATTTATTTAAATGCAATTAAAAGAACCTTTTGATCTTTTATAAATAAAAATTATGTAATTTTGGATACTTAAAAATCAGAACTCTAAACAATACATATATTTCGACGCGGGTAAAAAAGCCTGGACAAAACATCTTTCTGCATTTGTCATAATTTATTGATCTTTAATAAACATTTTTATTGGTTCTACTAAACATTTAGTTTTCATTTCGCTATATTCTACAATATTACATGAAAATACTGATCTGCATGACAGTTAAATTCCACATTATTGTTGATTTAAGAAAAAAAAAAATGTCAAGTTTGACAAAATATATTTCATTCGATCGGAAAATATAACTTGGTGACTTCCGTACAAAAGTTTAAATCCGTGGTTACCTTTCATAACTAAACAATAAACAAAAAGTCAAGTATGAGAGAATGAACTGACGTAAATATCCAACATTCGCTCAGGTCATGTCACGTAGCAGGTGCAACCGTCATGGTAACTATACGAGACTTACCGGTTGAACTGTAACATTATTACTACTACGAAGCGAGCTAAAACGAGTGAGAAAGCAAAAGAGCGAATAAAAAGAGACACTCAGTGTTAAAGTTAGACAATATATTTATATTTATAATTAAATAAAATAGTATTGAGTTCAAAATCATTGAATAGTTTGATTTTGAAGTGGTAGATGAATTAATATTATTAAATCTTAAGCAGCAATGGTTAATCGTTGTATGGGAATGTTAGTGGTATATGTATGACAACAAAGTCATCAAAAAGACAAGTAGGTAGGTAGCAACCAAACCCCTCCGGTCAAACTAGAGTGCATTGTCTGACGTGACAAGTGAAATTTGTACTTCCACATGAGGATATTGGCACACGCGTCTAAATGAATCTTCCTTTTCCCCAGCAGATGCTTTGATTTCAAAGGGGACAATTCACGAGTAGTAATAGAAATATTCATTTAAATATCTGTCAATACAAAAAATTCGACGAGTAGGATAAAGCAGTGGGAAAAAGAGAGAACAAGTAACAGAACATCGAGCCGCTGGAGGCAGACTTACTTGGTCTTTTCTACTACTGCGTAGAGGTCCAATCGTTTTTATCCCCGTAAGCATTTCTCTCTCCTTCAATTGTTACCCCTTTTACCCCTCACCCTGATATATACTAGTGGACTCTCGTAACTTCTGTCTGATCTCCCCCACAGGTACTCTCGTCTTTCCCCTTTGTACTCATATAATCGGCTTCGTGTCCGGTGCTTCTTCCATCTTTTGTACGACAATTCCTCTTTTTCCGCAACTGACTGGCCGATGCAATGATATCTGAAATTGGATGGACGACCTAGACGAACATAGGGTGAATGAGAAGTCTGTCGGAATTGTCGTATCCATATACGAGTCTGTAATTGACATTACAAATTGAAGTTTGATTTTTTTTAATGTTAAATTACATTCTACTGCGATAAGTTTTATCAAATATAATCCATTATAATAATAATAAGGAATATAATTATCTTATTTTATTATATTCAATTTTCTTTTTTGCATCTTTAATCTCAAATAAAAATAAAAAATGTCAATAGTATTAAATTGATGGTGCTATTATTAAAAAAAAAAAAGTGAGGAAAGAATCATTTCATGATTGAAGAAAAAAAAGTGTATTTTATTTTTTGATTCTTTTAAATTCATTTCTCATTTTCTTTTCTATGTCGTGATATTGTAGAGTGAGTATTTCTAAGACATTCTCAGCTTCTTACGTTTTATAGAGGCTATAAACCCAAGCATAAATTTTTATCGTTACTACACAGACGATCGCAACAATTGCTATCTTTGTCAGGTTTGCTAAATGTTCGTTACATTCATCTAAATTTTAACGTCATGATATTTATATATATGTAAAAGATAGATTGAAGTAATGTGTCAACGTTATTCGTAGAGAATTTTTTTCATTTGTCAATGATCATTAGACAATGAAAATTAAGAGTTGATGTGGTTGCGGGCATTTTGCAATCCCAATATTTTTTCTGGAATACGAACAAAAATTGCGGCAGCTTTTCATCAGTTATATACTTGGAAACGAAAAAAGTAAGAGATAGAAGAGAAATAACTACTGACTTGTCCTTCTCGTAGAATAAAATAGCATATTTGTGACATAATGTACACGTGAGACAAGTGCGAAACGCAACAAAATGTTTGGACTGCTAATTGAAAGAAATACACAAGTATATATAAATGAACAAGCCCTTAGGTAAAATTTTCTTTTTTTGTTACACTACCTATTTTCTCTCTACCAGATTTTACCTCAATTCCCGACTTCTGTAGCATTTTAATCCACCCAGGCGATGTCACTTCTCTCTCGACTTCACGACGAATAATTAGTCCGAAATTCGTTGCGAAAATCAAGCCAACGGATTGCCGGAAACGCAACAAAAGAACGAGATATTAGTTGTCTCATGTTGTTGATGGTTTTTTTTTGTTTTATTCATTTTTTTTCTTTTTTTTTTTTTTTTTAAATCGTTCATATTACATGCGCTATAAAAATCTTGAATTTGTTTTCTTTAAAGATTATCAAATAAATATTTATTTACTTTTGATAACAAGTTATTAATAAATTGTTAGACATTTTTAAACTTCATTAATAAAAATTTAAAATAAAAAAAAAAATATTATAAACAAGTAATACTTTTTTCAATTAATAAAATATTTTTTCGAAATTGGCAAAGAATTATTTTTAAAAATTTAATTCTGGTAGACTCTAAAAATTAATAGTTGAGTCCCATACTTGGATTTACAATACTGAGTTAATTTCTCATTTGACAGAAAATAGTTGAGTCTATTTGGAACTATTAATAGTAAATATACATTTCGTTAAATTCAATAAAAAATTTTATTGCAAATATATCCAATTCTTTTTATTGATTAAATAAACATTTTTTTGTATAGCAAAATTTTTTTTCTCGAGGCACTTTACATGTATTTATTAATTCACGCACACTCGTCATAAATAATTTTTTTTTGTTACATGATGCTTTTAAACCAATTATACACGATTGCTTTGGAGTTGCATTTTAATAAATTTCTATAGGCTGCAATCGTATGTGTAATGAATAACGAAAAAATCAAAGTGACACCCATGAGATTAATATTTGGGTAATAGGGGAATTGATCGTCACGTTTTCCGTTATATAGTCTTTCCTGCATCAAGAATCTTGTAATTACGATGGTGGATCATGCTGCTTTTTACCTGTCACAATTTTTTCATGCTATTACTTTAATTTATATTTATATATATAGATACATATATATATATATATTTCCCAACGTAAAAAAAAATCCAGAAAAAACAGAAAAAAGTAACGAAGAAACTGTGTAGAGAACAGGGCAAGGAGAAGTTATCGGACAAGAGAGAAGAGAGGTTGAGTGAACTGTCTGTCCTGTCCATCACGTTGCCAGCGTCAGATTATCGTTCTGACACTTTCTGAGTTATTCCGGCCGTATGCCGTAGCTCGTTTCAGACTGACTCGTCTACGGATCACGTGCTGGAAGACGAGACAACGAATACCCTGTCGGTGAAGCACTCAGTCGCGGCTCCTATCGTGTATACCTACTTAAGAAAGACGTGTGCGCGACGTGTGTCCAGCCGACTTGTTTAGTGGGTGTCGATCAAATTTCCGAGAGCGAAGGCCTTCAGGGTGATTTGAGACAAAGCTTATCCATTTTACAATTTTTTTTTTCACCTTTCTTATGCTCTGTATTCCTTTATATTGTGCCACATTATTTCATGGCATGTGTTTAACTGGTTCCATTTGGTTTAATTTTCAATTAGAAAAAAGTGTGACCGAAAAATGATAATTTATTGTACATTTTTGTATAAAAAAAAAACAATCATTAATACAGTAATAATTAACGAATAACAGAAATAACAATAATTAATTTCTTATTATTAACATCTGATCATGTAAATATTTTTAAGATTTGAAAAATGTGCATCATCTTATCTTATTATCAACATAATTTATTTTTTTAAGATCTTGAGCTCAAAAGAGATATCCTAGTGCATAAAAATAATAATGATATTATTACTGATTCAGTAATAATTATATCAACCTGAAATTTCATTATAAATCGATAACATTCAATCAGTCAATCAATTTTTTCGCATTTATTTAAAATAGTTGATAATGATGGCAATAAAATATAATGGAATGATTATAAAATAATTGTTGTAAAATAACATTAGATAAAATTTGTTGATTCATTATTTATCAATAAATAAAATATCTAATGAATATTAATATAAATGCTAA